CTGTTTCCACTTGTCCTTCTTTCTTGTCCTCTCCTGCCTTCTGGACTTTGCTCTGGAGCAAATGCTGCCATTTTGTTCTCATACAGATGATTATTCCGAGGATTATGTTCCTCATGAGTGTTATTGTTCTTTGTATAGGCCTATCTGTTGTTTGCCTGCAAGGTGATCCCTGGGGGTAAGTCTAAGAGCCCCAGTCTTGGGGGTTCCACTAGGCTCTATCAGACAAGTAAGTCTAGTCTTTTTAATGATTTTGAATTTTGTTCTACATTTCTCTCTCATTCTGTCTAGGACTTCTGTGGTCCTGATCAGAGTGGTCAATAGTGGTAGCAGGGCACCATCTAATTCTTCTGCTCTCAGGGTACTGGAGGTTGTGGTTGTGTGATCCGTTAGTTCTTTGGACTAATTGTTTCCTTGAGTCTTTGATTTTCTTCACTCTTCTTTGCTCCAAACAGGAAGAGAACAATGGTTGTATCTCAGATGACCATTCACTGACTTTTAAGATTCAAGTCGTTACTCACCACAGTAGGGTTTAGAACACTGTATTTGTGGACTATGTTATATCACTTCACTTAGCTGTCCCCCAAGACTATGGTCCTAAGTCTCCAAGCCCAGTGACTCACTCCCACAAACTGGTTATGGCTAAGAAGTTTTCAAACTTTGCCCTTTCTTTCCTGGATATATTTACAGCACATACAAATATGTATGTAGATATATCCTCTGCCAAAACCATATATATGGTCATAGATGTAGTCCCATTTGCCTGCCCATACCTGTTCAGTTTGCATGTCTGTCTACGTATCCATTTGTAGATTATTATGTTATTACTGATATTACAGGATTGTGTATGCAGTAGTATTCATCTTTGTTGTCTGTAACTCTTGTGCACCTCTCAATGTCTTCCTCTGTGTTAGTGATATTGTGCTGCTCACTCCTTTATTGTATGTTGGCTTTCCCTTCACCCAAATTAACATGTGTCTGTTATCTTGTTAGTGTTTTTCTCTTCTTTCCCATCCCTGGTAACCATCAAAGAATGTTGGTTTCTATGTGTAAACTTTTCCTTGACTTTTTACAGTAGTGGTCTCAGACAATATTTGTCCTTTTGTGATTGACTTATTTCAGTCATCATAATGTCCTCTATTCACATTATGAGGTGTTTCATGGATTCTGTGTTATTCTTTGACATTGCATATTGTTCCATTATGTGTATGTACTGTAGTTTGTTTACCTAGTCACCCATTGATGTGTACCATCTCTTTGCTATCATGAATAAAGTGTCAATGAGCATGGGTTCCATTTGTCTATTAGTGTCCTGGCTCTTATTTTTCTAGGTTGTATACCTGGTAAGGAACTCTGGTAGCACAGTGACTAAGGAATCTGACTACTAACTAGACGGTTGGTGGTTCAAACCCACCAGCTACTCTGCAGAAGCAAGACTGGGCAATCTACTTCCATAAAGATTTACTGCCTTGGAAACCCAATGGGGGTTGCTATGAGTTGGAATTGACTCAATGACAGTGGGCTTGGTTTGGTTTTTGGTATACCTAGTAGTAGGATGGGAGAGCGCCAGTGGCATATTGCCTAAGGCATTTGACTGCTAACCAGAAGGCTGGTGGTTCAAACCCATCAGCCACTCCTCAGAAGGAAGATTGGGCAGTCTACTTCTGTAGAGATACTGCCTTGGAAACCCAAGGAGGGGTCGTTATGAGTTGGATCTGACTTGATGGTAGCGAGTTTGGTATGGAGTAGTAGGATTACTGAGTCAAAGGGTATTTCTATTTCCCACGTTTTAAGGAATATATGCCAACATTTTAAAATGTCTTTAATATTCTGAGCTAGAAGAACTACTTTTAAAGAAGCTAGAAGTTCAATAGGAGCTCTGGTAGCATAGTGCCTAAGGCACTTGACTGCTCACCAGAAGGCTGGCGGTTCAAACCCACCAGCCACTCCTCGGAAGGAAGGTTGGGCAATCCTACTTCCGTAGTGATACTGCCTCAGAAACCCAAGGAGGGGTCGCTATGAGTCGGGGCCGACTCGATGGCAAACAACAACAACAACAACAACAACAAGTTTAATACGACTAGGATGAATTTTATGGCAAGTATGACCACAGGCCCTAAAGAAGGCCACACAGCTAGAGTTTAGATGTTAATACTTTCTAAAAACAAATGATCACAACAGGTTTGTAGTACTTTTCTAACAACTTTGTTCTTAAGGAAAATAGAACGTAAAAAAATAAAACTGCATTGAGCTATTTATCAGCTTTGAGGGTCTCTTAGGTTGGGCAATCCTACTTCTGTAGTGATACTGCCTCGAAAACCCAAGGAGGGGTCGCTATGAGTCGGGGCCAACTCGACGGCACATAACAACAACAACAACACTACACCACTTGAAGTATTTTGGGTTTTCCTCTCCTTCCATTGTCCCTCTTGCAGGCCCCCAGTGTTGTCATAGCTTTTTCTCCCAAAAAACCATGAAAACTATTTGACATCTTGCCTCCTCCCCCACAACTTCACAGCTCTGAGTGTTGTTGCCCATTCACACACACACACACTTTTCAGGAGAGAAGGAGAATGACTGTTACTTTTGTAAGTGTGTGTTGCTTTTTTCCTTTGTTAAATAATTGGTTATTGTAAAGAATTCATAAACTACAAAAAAAGGATAAGAAAAGAAAAAAACCTTTTACAATCATACCGCACAAAGATAACAATTGTGGTTTTCCTTCCATTATTTCATTGTCTGTGAAAGAAACAATGAGATGATATTATATGTACTATTATCTCTCTCTCTCTCTCTCTCTCTCTCACTGCCATGGAGTCAGACCTGACTCATAGCGACCCCTCCTTATGTTTCCGAGGTGGTATCACTATGGAAGTAGATTGCCCAATCTTCCTTCCGTGGAGTGGCTGGTGGCTTTGAACCACCAGCCTTCTGGTTAGCAGTCAAATGCCTTAGGCACTACGCCACCAGAGCTCCTTATATACTATTATGCATATGTCTCTTTCCACTCTTCATTATATTATAAACATTTCCTCATGTCGTTAAATATACCTTGAAAACATACTTTTTAGTGGCTACATAACAGTCTTGGGCAGAAACAGTTGATAAATCTCCTGTTGGACATTGATAATTTTTAAAATGTTTTGCTAACTGCTATTATAACTAAAGGGAGCTCTAGTAGCATAGTGCCTAAGGCACTTGACTACTAACCAGAAGGCTGGCTGTTCAAACCCACCAGCCACTCTTCGGAAAGAAGGTTGGACAATCTACTTCCGTAGTGATGCCACTTCGGAAACCCAAGGAGGGGTCGCTATGAGTTGGGTCCGACTCGACGGCACATAACAACAACATTATAACTGAAATTTTAGTGCACATTCATACATTATATATCTGTGTATGTATTCATATATATATATGTATATATATAGTCATACACACGCATACATACGTATACATACATAAGTGAAGTCCCTAGGTGGTGAAAACACTTAAGGCACTTGGCTGTTAACATAAAGGCTGGAAGTTCAAGTCCACCCAGAGCTACCTCAGAAGAAAGGCCTAGTGATCTACTTTGAAAGATCAGCCATTGAAATTCTATGGAGCACAACTCTCCTCTGACACACATGGGGTAATCAGGAGTTGAAATAGACAGCAACTGGCATATACATACATACATTCATACACACACACACATATATACAAATAAATATATGTATATGTACACACAAGCAGACACACATACATTTTTGCTATATATCTAATTGTCTCCATAGGATATACTCATAAAGTGAAATTTTTGACTACAAGTATGTGTATGTTTTTAGAGTTCTCTATATTTATTTCCAAATTTATTTCCATAAAATTGTCACTATTTACACCTTTGCCAACAAAATATAAAACATTTGCTTCTCCAATTGTTTATTATCAAAGTATATAATTATGTTTATTTTTGCAAAAGAACTTTGCCAAAGGAAAAAAAAAATGGTGTGACAAAATTCCATAGAAATATACAAATTTTTTACAAAAATTGTGTTATAATCTTCTATTATATAACATGTTCCCCCCCCCCCCAATTATCACTAAATTGTGGACATTTCCCAAGTCCATTCTACACATTATTCTATTTAGTAGTGTCATAGCAGCTTACTATATAAAATACAAAATATATTGTGAGACTGGCAGAGGGGAATGAAGGTAGTATTCTTAGCCTGTTTTCTACTATCAGTGGTGAGTTTGTGTTAATCTAATCAAAATTGCACCATCTGTCACCTACAAGTAATTTGCAAGATGGACTGAACTCCACACAGACTATCATACCTGAATGAGGCCCTTGATAGTGTTTGAACCTATACTCTTGTTCTACTTCATGAGTAATTTCCCATTCATCATCTTTAAAAATTGAATCCATCTATTAGTCACTTGGTCCTCACCCACAGCGAAACAGATATGCATATGTCTGCAAATAATCACCTTTTGTTTTTTTCTTACTATTTCTATTTTCACTCAGCATTTTTGCCAACTGAACAAAGACATACCAAAAAAAATTCTATGCATGTTTAAACCCTTGCAACTCTGTTTCTGTTATTCACTAAACATTGGGGGAAAATGGGGAAATCTTTCCGTGGAGCCAACATTAATGTTGGAGTGCAATTCTTAGGTCCAATTTAATTAATTCACTCAGCAAATGTCCACTGAACTATTATTCAGACACTGTGCCAAGTGCAGGGAATGAAGAGAAGGAAAACAAAAAAAGACAAAGTTGGGTCAAAGTTTAAAATTGAAAGTTGACTTCTATTCCAGGCACTGTGACGGATGCTGTGAACAAGACAGAGGCTTTACCTTCACCTTCTTCATCCTTGTCTTTAGCAGAAATTAACAAAAGTGGGGGGTATGGAATCTGCAACTCGGGACAGTTTAATTGTCACTGTTGGACCATTAAATCTTTGGACGCATGGGGGTTAGAAGCCTTTGTATAACACTGCATGTAATTATGGACCATGCAGGTGGACCATTGGGACAAAACAGCTCCCCAGATCACACACTTGCATCTCCCATCTCAAGTGGAATTCCTGAAAAATGGCTGTTATGGGATTTACATCACCTCCCACGTGCTGAAGGCCTCTGACCCTGACACTGAGGATGATCAGATCATCTTTAAGATTTTACGAGGCCCACAACATGGACATCTGGAGAACACAACAACAGGTACCAGCTTTCTTAATCCTTGTAATTGCTCATTTTAAAATACCCAGTGGCTACCAGTGCTAGAAAGTAATTTAATTAAGTGCATGCCCAGTTGGTAAACACTCCCTAGTGCTTACTGATAGATGCCTTTTATGAATCAGTATTGGTGCTAAAGAGGGTTTGAAGCCCAGCTTACCTAAATTCATCCTGAGTAGGAGAACCAAATACTGAGACACAGCTGTTTATTGTTTATACCTCTATTTTTTTTGACAGCCAGATGGTAATGTATTCAGAGGGACACAGAGTGTCAGGACCAAATTCCTATTTTAACTAATTTTTGCTCCTATCATGAATTCTAAATTATTTCAGTTCATCTAAAAAAAAAAATTTTTTTTTCCTGGATTGTATGTTATTTCTGACTTTGAAGATAGTGATTTTAATCTATCACTAAACAGGATGGAACAGAATTACAAAATTATTTATACATGTTATAAGATAGTTGCAATAATGTTGATTCCTTAAAAAAAGTACTTTGTTTTTTAAATCATCATTTAGAATATAATAGCTGCGCAGTTTTATCTGCTCTTATTTAGTGTTTTGTGTGATTTCACATGAGATTCATTTATTTCTTCTTTGTAGGTGAATTTATCCATGAAAAATTTAGCCAAAACGATTTAAACAGTAAGACCATTCTTTACGTCATAAATCCATCTTTGGAAGTAAATTCAGATGTCATGGAATTTCAAATCATGGACCCTACAGGGAACTCTGCCTCTCCTCAAATGTAAATTTTTTGCTTTTTCAATAGTCCTGCATGTAATATCCAGAATGGATCTAATTAAAAATAGTGAAAGTATTTTTCAAACTGAACCTAAGAGGATAAACTAATAGACCATTTCACAAGCTCCTAGGATTTATTTTGAAAGAGATTTTATTATTATTATTATTATTTGATAGTGAAACAACCATTAGCTTTACAGAATATAGAAATGTTAAAAAATTAAGTCACATAGTGCTGGATCATCCATATTGTGCATGCCAATGCATATACTGTCCACTTGCACACATAGAGACTTGTGTCTGCCAATTCACTAGTGTTCAAGTCTGGGCTTGCAAGCTCATGTATAAATCATATAGCAAGAGGTTGCTGTACGCCCACGTTGGTAACCACAGACTTCTAGACTATTGAGCACTGAAAGAATGGGGATGGGGTAGGAAGGGTTAGCAAAATACCTTCCCTTTCCCTTACAAAAAAGATATGATTACTTTCAATTGCTTTTATAAGCGAATAAACCCATCCCAGATGATATGAAGACAGTGCAGAGAAAAATAGGCTTGGAGGGGTATTAAGTGAAACTTAAACTCACTGCTGTCAAGTGGTCCTGACTCATAGAAACACTCCTTGAGTTTCTGAGGTGGTATGTCTACGGAAGTAGATTGCCTAACCTTCTTTCTGAGGAATCTACTTCTGTAGTGAAACCTAGAATATGTATAGTATATATGATCTAGAACTAAGAGTAACAATCTTCAAAATTAAACAGATTGACAGACCACAGTACTTATATTCACTCTATCCCTATTCTGGACTTTTCTTGAGTGTAGACCATGAATAATAACTTACCAACTGGCAGATGATCATAGGAAGGCTATCAATAGTTCAGTTTTCCTTGTTCTGCTTCCCTTTTTCATTTGAAGCCCTTTTCAGTAGTCTCAGAGAAAAGTTGTTCATTCACACTAGTTTTAGTATTCACCATATCATTGTCTTACTACACACCATAGTGAGTGCAGCCCCATTATTGTCCATTTGGTGGAATCTGGACAAAGGAAGAAAAGAGCTGAGGAAAGGACTCCTGGCCTCATATTTTCTTCTTTCTGATCCTGAATTGTAATCCCACCATTCGCCAGCAGAGGTCTCTGTGGTCATTGTTAGAAAACAACTGGCTTCCTCTAACAAAACAGCCCCAGAGTCCTACCTCTATTGCCCACATAAAGGGTAGTATCTCACCCTCCCAAGCTTCAGAATTACTAGCTCCACAGATCCTTATTGTATGGTTACTGAATGCCGGGTGCACTGTATTAGGAAATAAGAGTGAAAAAAGGAAGACCTAGCTCCTGATATTAAAATTAATCCTGAAATTATAAAACTAAACAGATGGCCATCACCCATTTTGCAGCTTTTGCCTAAGAGGAATGATTCCTCAGGGGAAAACTCTGTTAAAAAAACATATATATATATATACATATACATATACACTTACATTCATATGTTGTTGTTGTTGTTATGTGCCGTCGAGTCGGCCCCGACTCATAGCGACCCCTCCTTGGGTTTCCGAGGCAGTATCACTACGGAAGTA